ATATCATGTTTTTGTTGTTTTCATGTCATGTTTTTGTCATTTTTATATCATGCCTCTGTTGTTATGTCCTTTTGTTACTGTTTATTAATAAATTTATATATTATTTTCATATACCTTTTACTAATTTCCTTTAATTTCTCACACTTTTATTATAGAGAAAGGGCAAATAGCAATATTAAAATATTTCCGCTAATTAATTCCCTTTTAATGTGCACGAATTTTGTGCACCGGGCTACTAGTCTATACTAATAATAGCCTAGGTGGTGTCACGCCCTCATGTCGTCACAAGATGGCTGCGTGCACAGTAGAGGTGGGGCCTGGTGGCCACTCGGTGCAGTGAGGCCTGGGGGTCCCGTGGCTCTGCGTGGCACGGGGGAGGCTGGTTGTGGCAGGGGAGGGCAGTCGTGGGTGGTCAGGCCAGCAGGGGAGGGCAGTTGGGCGCAATCAGGCCAGCAAGGGAGGGCAGTCAGCCATCAGGCCGTCAGGGGAGCAGTTAGGCATCAATTAAGCCAGCAGGGGAGCAGTTAGGGGGCGATCAGGCTGGTAGGCAGAAGCTGTTAGGGCCAGTCAGGCAGGCAGGCAGGCGAACGGTTAGGAGCCAGTCGTCACGGATTGTGAGAGGGATGTCCGACTGCCAGCTTAGGCCTGATCCCTGTGCACCAGGCCTCTGGTTTAATATAAAAGGAATCACGTAGTATGCATGCCTGGTTTGTTTTATTCAACGTTATGTTTGTGAGATCTAGCTGAGCTCATTCATTCCCATTGCCAAATATTATTCCTTTCTACTGTTGGTAGGCAGAGTTGTCCCACCTCTCATCAACATTTGGTATTATCTCTTTTACATTGTAGTCATTCTTCTGGGTATATAGTAACATTTTGTTGCAATTTTAATTAGTATTTCCCTAAGGACTAATGAGATTGAGCTTTGTTTTTTTCTTTAGTTTTTTTTTTTTTCCCATGAGCATTTCTTTCATGTGTATTGGCCATCTGAATAATTGCAAATTGCCTGTTCAAGTCTCTTGTCCATTTTTACCTTGGGTTTTCTGGTTTATTTGTAGGAGTTCTTCATGTATATTTTTGGTATGAGTTTATTGTTGGGTATATGTATTGCAGATACCTTCTTCCATTTTGTGGATTGCCATTTCACTCTTAAATGATTTCTTTTAATGAACAGTTATTAACTTTAAAGTAGCCTAATTCATCTTTTCTTTTTGAGTGTGCTCTATTGCCTTTAAGAGCTCTTTGTCTATTACAAGGTAAAGAAGGTAGTCTCCTGTGTTGTCTTTTAGAAGCTTTATTGTTTTACCTTTCATATTTATGTCTGTAATTCATTTGGAATATATTTTTGTATATATGGTGTAAAAATAGGGGTCAAGGTTCTTTTTTTTACATGGATATCCAACTGACTCAATACTATTAAGAAGTTGTCTTTATTGCTGTGCATAGGTACCTTTGTCTTAAGTATCCATAACTCTCCATTTTCTGTTTTATCCTATGCCATTAACACACTGTCTTAATAAGCTTTATAATGAGTTTTAATATCTGGTAGTGGATTTTTTTTTTAGCTTTCTTTTTTCATGGTTGTTTTGACTATTCGTGGTCCTTTGAATTTCTGTGTAAAAAGCTTTAGCGTCATCTTGTCATTTATCTCTCAAAAACACACACAAATGCACAAAAGAACTTGTTGGGATTGTGATTGTAATTAAATCAGTAAACCAGTTTGGGGAGAATTGATATCTTTAGAATTCAGTGAACTTGTATATCCCATTTATTTATTTAAAAATTTGTTTTCTATTAGAGGTCTTTCACTAGATTTACCTCTAGGTATTTGATATGGAAGACATAAGTGTACTGAATTTGAGTGCTCTTGGTATCAGAAAGATGTCTCAACTTAGTTCAGAGATAATACGTACAGCAGGGTTGTATGTGGAAGGTCTTCAGAGATATAAGAATTTAAAAACAAACTTAACTGTGTGAATATGGCAACTTACAGTGAAACAGTTTTTATACCAAATACTGTTGCAACGTGAAATGCTTATAATCATATTGCACAATTATGTAGATATATGATTAAAATACAGACATCTTAGGCATCATTACTGTAAGTAATAATGCTTCTTGGCTGAATGAAATGCTGTACAATTTAGATATGTATGGTTTTAGTTTAGGTTAGATAACCAACATTTCACCATGGTTTTAATGTTATATATCGAGAAAGAGGGAATTAGTGTTAGAAAGTGTGTGGAGGGGTAAATTGTGATGTTGAGTCATAAGAAAATATACTGTGATATGATTATAAATATGTTTCCAAATTTGTGGCACTATTCATGGCAGAATTTTATGCCTAGAAATTTGAGGAATGAGAGAAAGATCTAGTTGTTACCTTTAGCCAATTAACATTTCTGTGCCTTCATTTCTTCTTCTGTACAAAAGGGATAATAATCATTTGGATAGGACTTAGAACAGTGTCTGGCTTATAATTAGTGTTTATTATTTGTTTTTCTGCAGATATGTAAGCACCAAGAAGGAATGGACCTTGTCTTGTTCACTATATTCAACACCTTCGGTGTACTAGATTGTCTAGACACAATCCCTGCATTCATGGAGCTTAAAATCTAGTCTGTGCATATCATTGTAAATAGTAAATCATGTTAGTAGTAAGACTGTCATGCTTCCATAAGAAACTGTAGTTATTTATAAAACATTTACTTATTAATTTTCTACAATGGCAGTGTTGCTTTATATGCTTGTTTAAGTTGAAATTCTGAGGGGAATATTAGGCTGTTCATCTCATGGTGTTCAACTTTTTATTTGTAGTGCTGGTGTGTTTGAGTCCTCTGATGCTGGAGTCCTGGGATTTGAAAGACTCGCGTTTAAGTTCATTTTTGCTGCTGATCTTGTACATGACTCTGAGCAAGTTACTTCTTAATCATGTCTGTAATTAAATGCACTAAATGATATCTAAGGTTTCTTCCAGCTCTCATTTTGTTATTAATCAACTTCACTAAATTATGTTATATTCTGTGGGTAGAGGGGAGCAGGAATCCATGGTTCATAATATTATTTGCCTTGAAACTAAATGCTGAAATTTAAATGTTGAGCTCATATTCCATAATTGTATTTTGGTTTTATTTATAGATGCCAGAAGTGGGTGGAAAATTGTAGGAGAGCAGACTTAGAAGATAAAACACCTGATCAACTAAATAAACATTATCGATTATGTGCCAAACACTTTGAGACCTCTATGATCTGAGAACTGTAAGTAATAGAAGGGCTTGGTTTTTGTTTTCTCTCTTGCTCCCTCAGTATCTGGTTGGAAGTATAAATCTTCCTCTATTAATGTTGGAGGGTATCTTTATACCCCTCCACTATTTCTTTTTTTTTTTAAGATGAAGACAGGTTTGGAGCTAACTAGCCACTTGTAAACTTCCTGTGTAGCCTTCAGAAAAATTTTAAGCTATTATCAAAGTTTATATTTATTTAAGGTAAAGTTGGTGTTTTTATTTGGAGCAGCTTCTCTAGAGCTTTTTTATGAGTAAAATCTTCCAGGAATGGAGTTCTTTGTTTTCATGTATTTGTTTTTGTAAGTACTGTTAGAACCAACAGGAAGCAGATCATACAATTAATGTAAAAAAAACATTTCCATCAATAATTTGCAATTTTATATTAAGACCTGGATCTCTCTTACTACTAACAATCTTACTACTGTTAATTTTTATTTTGGCCAAGTCACTCCCTCTTGGGCCCTAATTTCTAATGAGATTAGACATGATAATTCCTGAGGTCTAAGATTTTTAACCCTCCTTATTTTTATTGCTAGGATTCATAAAAGGCACGCATAGGGCAGATTTGATTGAAGTGGAGTAGACTTGAAACACTAAAAACTAGTTAGGAAGACAGTTTTATTTAATAATACATATATTCTTATTTAGGTATAGCTAATGTATCATCCCAGATATTGGGATAGACATAAACTTGATATTTAAGGTGCACTATATATTGTTATGCAGAATTTATTTTGATATTTTTTTCAGATACATTTTGCAGAGGCACCAGAAAACTAAAGAATGATTGGGTTATTTCTCAAAATTATTTGAAGCAGATACTTGTGAAGTCATTGGGAGGTGAGCCAATTCCGGTTCAACAGTTTAATCACAAATATTTGAGGAATAATTTTGCCTTGCTTTGTTAAGAGGGTAATAATAATCATGACCAACCAAAATAAGAGATTTACTATGTTAAAAAGCTAACTACTTTTATGTTTTTGACAATAAGTAAAACAGTCCCAAATTATTATTTTAAATACACAAGTCTTATGCATTTTTATATTTTTATTTTAGTAATAAATATGGTCTCTTAATTAGATAATTCCAACAAGATTAATATGAGAAATTTAACATATAGTTTATTCTCATATTCTTGTTTAGTCAATGAATAAACTTGCTTTTTAAACTTCCACATGAATATTCAATCTTGAATAAATTAAATTCAAATGTGAGAATTTTTTTTAAACTTATTTAGATGGTATTGCTATTAAAAGCTGGATTGCCTAAGATCTGTATTCGAATGTTAAGAGTATTAACTTCATTAATTTGGCATTTAAAGTCTCATTAGTAAACATTCATGGCTAGTTCAATCAAAGCCAAGTGTTAACTTTAATGCGAGAGTAAGATCATTGCTTTATGCTCAAACCTTAATTCAGCAGTTAAAGATTAAATCTTGATACTGCATTAAAATGATCAGACACATGAATTGAATATAGCCCTTTTAGGCATACATGCTTATAGATGAATATGTATTAAAAGTTGCATGTTTTCCACATGTTGTTTTCTGGTCTTTAATATTTTTTATAGCAAATGAATTTGAATTTGAAACATGTATTAGAATGTTTTATCCCTCCTCTCCTTATGTAATAATTGGTGATACCAAGAGTTGACTATGTATGCGTGTATGCTTGCTTTTTGAGATGATTGCTAAGTGGGAAAGATGAGACGCTTTGGGTATTGTATAGCTTTTGCTCCCTTCAATGACTGTGTCCCTAATCAATCCCGGATTCAGACTTCATAGTAGAGTCGGGATAATTGGCACAGCATTAGAAGCTGGGTATCATTAAGAAATAGATTTTGAGGTGCTCCCCCTCTCAGGAGCTCGCCTGCCTTTCCACTCTTCCCCCAAGGTGTGCTGTCTTTGCCTTTCTCTCTCCTAAGCTCCAAGTGCCCTTCTTTTGCTTCTGTAACTTGTTTCCTGAGGCTATGCAGCCCAGCCAACTCACTTCTACTACCTCTGTAACTTTCTAAATAAACTTTTTAAAAAAAAAAAATAGGTTTGTTTTTTTTTGGTTTTTTTTTTTTTTTTTTTTTTTATGAGGCATGGGATTGAACTAGAAAATACTGAATCTGAATAGAAATTCTTCCCAGATAACAGCTCTTTGGATGAAACTTAGGTAGTGTGTTTTCTTTAGTTATATAGAGTTAACCTTTAAATAACACAGAGGTTTGGGGGTGCTGACACCCCACACAGTAGAAAATCTGTGTATAATTTTGATTCTCTGAAAACTTATAGCCTACTTTTGACCGGGAATCCTTTCTGATAACATAAATAAAAAATTAACACATATTTTGTGTTATATTTATTATATACTCTATTCTTACAATAAAGTAAGCTTAAGAAAATACATTTGCAGTATTTATTGAAAAAAATCCACATGTAAGTGTACCTGTGCAGTTTAATTCTGTGTTTTTCAAGAGTAAAATGTACTTTCCTTTATATCTTTCTAACCTTCCTTCCCTGGGTAAAAATATAGAAGTTGTTATTTTTGTTTGGCATATATTTTGACCAGGCTTTAATAGTCAGCTTTGAAACAATCACTGCTCTGGAGAAAGCTTTTTAAAATGAAGTGTCTTTATCAGTGCAAATTTGTGAAGAAATTAATGATACTGCTTCCCTGGACGAGCTGGGAGGGAATTTAGTAGCAGTTATTAATAAATTTCTTGTCCCATCTGACTTCCTCTGGGCTGGCTGTGAAAACTGTCACCATCTAAGTATGCATCTAGCTTTTAACCAGGTTGGATTGCAGTAACGGGAATTAGGATAGAGCAGTGGTCTGCAAACCGTGGCTCGCGAGCCACATGCGGCTCTTTGGCCCCTTGAGTGTGGCTCTTCCACAAAATACCACGTGTGGGCGCGCACGTACAGTGCGATTGAAACTTCGTGGCCCATGCGCAGAAGTCGGTTTTCGGCCTGGGCTAGTCTATTTTGAAGAAGTGGCGTTAGAAGAAGTGGGGGTACGTTTGCTGAGGTCGACACCTCAGATTGAGGACGTTTTTAGCAAAGGCCAGCTTAGGAGTACCCTAATTAAGTTAACCCTTTGCGGTCCAATTTTATTTTTGGAATTCAAACAGTCTGGTCTAAATTAATTGACGGGATTGAATGTTGAAGTTATCTGTCTCACTAGACCTCAGCTCAACGTTGGACCTGCTCCTAGCACCTGGTCTGTCGAGTCAGCCTCCACGTTGGACCGAAAAGGGTTAATAACAATGTACCTACTTATATAGTTTAAGTTTTAAAAATGTGGCTCTCAAAAGAAATTTCAATCATTGTACTGTTTATATTTGGCTCTGTTGACTAATGAGTTTGCTGACCACTGGGATAGAGCATAGTCATTCTTCAATAAGAACATCTGAATTATAAGGGGATTTAGAAGTACCTATTTCAGTGTTTGCAAAGTGTGATTATATATGTGTGTGTGTGTGTGCACACACACACACACACATATATCACTGGGGTATGAGTGATTTCAGGTAGCACATGCATCACTTTATTTTAGAAGTTTTTTAATGAGTTAAAAATATAACCAGCCCATCAAACCATTATTTTGTAATTTTTATTGCTTATTACAATGTTAACTAAAAAAGTGAGTAGATTGTGTAAAAGTACAGATGGCATAACTGAAATGGCAAGCATTTTGTTCATTAGTATTTGAATATTTTCATTTTTTGGAAATATGAATCTAGTTCAATACCTGAATTTTATTCAGAAGAGGAACTGAAGTCCACAATGGGAAAGTATTATATGTATTATATACTGTATATGGTGAGTCACTGTTAGAGTTTGGACTAGTTTCTAAGTCTCATGTGTCCCAGTCCAACATTATTTCATTGTGCCTTGATGCTTCTCAGAAATAGTAGCAAAAGTGGACTGAACAACCGGTAAAGGAGGGAAACTTATTATAGAACATACACTAGATTTTCTTAGAAACTTTTGTGTCTACTATAGATTGGGTGGGCTAATGGAAGAACAGAATAGATAAAATAGCTGGGATTCTGAGTTAGGGGGAAAAATACATATATATTAGAGGATTAGAGGCCCGGTGCACAAAATTCGAGCACTCGGGGTGGGGGGGGTATCCCTCAGCCCAGCCTGCGCCCTCGCAGTCCAGGAGCCCTCTGGGGATCCTTAGCACTGCCATGGAGGCGGGAGAGGCTCCCGCCACTGCTGTGCTCGCCAGGCCAGCCATAAGCCCGGCTTCTGGCTGAGTGGCGCTCCCCTGTGGGAGCACACTGACCACCAGGGGGCAGCTCCTGCATTGAGCGTCTACCCCCTGGTGGTCAGTGCACATCATAGCGACCAGTTGTTCTGCCATTGGTCGATTTGCATATTAGCCTTTTATTATATAGGATATACAAAATGCAAATACATTTTATTTTTTATGCCTATCATTATTTCAGTTCCCTAATTTATAATAGTATGATTACCAAAAGGGCAAATATGAAAAGAGCTAGAAATAATAAGCTGACTTGGATTGACATCATTAATTCTTCAGGTTTCTCTGTACTTTAGAGCTGGAGTTGAAGGAGTACTGGAGAAATCATTAATGTAGAATTTTATTTATATGTAATACATTCTTAAGGACTAGCTCTGAATTAACACATTTTTCTTTTTCAGAGTCCTTATAGGACAGTTCTTCGAGATAATGCAATACCAACAATATTTGATCTTACCAGTCATTTGAACAATCCACATAGTAGACACAGAAAACGAATAAAAGAATTG